ACGCCCGTGCCATGACATATATATATATGTGTGTGTGTGTATATAGAGATGGAAGAGGTCTAACTGTGAAATTCTTCAATAAACAAAGAGTTTAATGTATATATTTACGTACTGATGGAAGAGGTCCAATTGTGCTATTGCTATATCATTAGACCACCCCATCCCGCGATACATCGCGAAATGGGAGATAATAGGAGGAACGAGGGCTTGAAACTGCGACAACTGGACAGTCTCACCACGTATACGAACGTGCAGTACCACTGTTTTTCTCTAAAGTTGAAGATTATTTATACAAACGATAAATACGTAAACGTTTCAGTATACGCTAGTAGACTATACCCATCTCGCTAGTGCTTGGTAGTACGTTAATAAAAACGTTTGAATATTTGCTAGTAGACTAGACTGATAGTAATTGGTGGCAGGTACGTCAATAAAGAGTTTGATTATATGCTAGTAGACTGTAGCCACCTCGTGAGTGCTTAGTGGTACGTCAAAAGAAACGTTTAAGAATACGCTTGTAGACCACCCAACTAGCTAGTACTTAGTGGTACGTCAATAAAAACGTTTAAGAATACGCTAGTAGATCACCCAACCCGCCAGTGCTTAGTGGTACGTCCAATATAACGGTTGTAGTAGGCTAGTTGAGCTCGCGTGGTTACATGTGCACGTGCACACACACACACTGACACAATAAAAACACTCAATAACGGTTTGCAGGCGTAAAAATGACCAATCTCCAGGCATGTATGCACGACTCACTCACACACATAAACACATAAAGGTACATCAAAGTGAGTGTGTGTATATTGTTGTACGCTTAGGCTTTACGTCGACTATTGTAGCGGGCTTCATATCACCCGCTAGTGATGCAACTAGCGCACGCATACTGACATTGATCAACTTTACACACACATATATATATATTTATATATATATATATACATATAGGACAATGCAGATAGATATGCAAGTATAAGTATGCTATCCACTAACACTCACCTCGCCAGTGCCTGGTCATACGTTAGATTCCCAAGTATACTGTCGTGGTAAGCTACTTTGTGTTCGCGAGTGGTAGTTGTTGAGTAGCCGCACTCCATGACCTCAGCCATCATCTAGTGGTTGTTATCAAAGCAAATAAGTAAGTTTGCTACCTTGGGATGCTGAAAAAAAACACAACTGAAGGAGTATTCCAAGCTATCAAGTCCATTCTCTTGCGAGTGCGAATATTTAATACACTACGAAGAAAATGTAGCCCGGGGTTTGAAAGGACTTGGCGCAGACATAGGCAATTGGTATTCAAACTCTCGATAAACCTTTGCACTGGCCTTGGACACTGGTCAATTTGTACTCGACTCTCCATACTTTCCCATATTTGGCAGCCGAAACTAGGGTTTGCAAATATGATCCCCTGTCCCCCTCCCCCTCACACACACACAAACCACACACGCAATACACATACACACACACACACATCCGTTCCATATACTACTGGCATAGCGTTAAACTTATGATACCTCCTCCCGGAAGCACACAGGCTTGCTTGCACTCCGCTGTCTCCTGCTCTCTCACACGCGCACACACACCTTCTGCACATTATCCGCATACAGATACGCGTCAGCCAACTCTTCTTGCGATGGTTTGTATTCATCCAGAGGGATGACCTCTACGAAGTTGACAAACTGTGGGGGTGGGGAGAGGGGGGGGGGGGATTGGAGTAAAGTTCAGTTAAGGGGGTAGATAAGGTGCGCTGACATGTTGACACCAATGGGGTGCATGATTGGTAATACCTGGATAAGTAGGCCAAGTGATATCACAGCTAAACCCTAACCCCCAAAACTCTAAACAGCAGCCATCGATTTGACTGCGCGTCACTATAGACAGTGCAGATGCCGCATCTATGCTGTGCAGAGATCATACAGCCAGTGCTCATGCCTTGAGTCACCCGTTGTGTGCAGCTCACAACAAAGAACACCACATCGTAATAACAACAGTCCTCGTATACAATACATAGCCTCAGTCTGACAATCCACAAGCTACCCGGCGAGGCTGCAGTGGTCTTTGTGCAATTCAAACAACCACTCGGATGTGACTAGGGTTGTGGGTGTTTTGGCATATAATCATTCGTCAGTCTCTGCGTCTGGCTCAAAACAAACAGAGAACAGCCCAAACGTAGGCGATAGGCGACATAAAGAACTTACTGTGATATAATAGAACGTACTGTGACATGATAGAGCTTACTGTGACATGATTGAACTTACTGTGACATAATAGAAATAACTGTGACATCGTAGGACATACTGTGACATAAGAGAACCACCATAACATAATAAAACGCACAGTGATATAATAGAACTTACTGCGACATACTAAAATCTCCTGTGACATAATGGAACTTACTTGGGTCATGAGTCGCCATACGTGTGTAGTGATTGGGACCGTTTCCCAGGACAAGCTGTAGTGCTTGTTGGGATAGCGAAGACACACGGGCGTGACTGGCGCCTTGCACCGGAACACACCCGTGCGAAAGCTTACCATCTCCACGCCATTGGTAGTAGTGCCCTCGGGGAAAATTACCAACGGCGGTAGATCTGGTACACGGGACGAATGATACTTGCATGAGCATGTTTCGATGGAAGCGTATGTATATAAATCTGTAGATGTTGAAGTTGCACGAGTACGTTTCGATGGGCGTGTACGTATATCAATTTGGATACGTTGGAATAAAATGCGTAAAAGTACTCAACGGGCTGTGGAGTGGAATGAGGAAATGAGATTGTGTAAGAGAATGTGCATACACAACGAAAAATAAAGCCGTGGAAAATAATACCCACACCGTTGGTGATCGTGGTTTCAGCGAAATGCGTAGCCGCGCGTGAAAGTAACGTAAACGATAAAGGATGCA